ATGGATAACATCTTTGGTTGTTATTCCTATTCGGAGCGTAAGAAGGTCCAATATGCGGCCGCCCAATTAGCCGAGAATGCCCTCACTTGGTGGGATCGTGAGGTTACTGAGCGCCGGCGAGGCCATTACGCTCAGGTCGAGACTTGGCGTGAGATGAAGAATCTCATGCGAAAACGTTTCGTACCTCCTCATTTCCATCGAGATTTACAACGGAGGTATAGGCGTCTAGCGCAAGGGTCTAGGTCGGTAGAAGAATACTTTGAGGAATTTGAGAGCATTAGAAGCCGACTAGAGCTAGACGAGGACGAGGAAACGGTTATGGCCCAGTTCTTAGACGGACTGCAGGATAAGATTGGCTGCCAGGTCGAACGCCATCCGTACCAAGACCTCCAGGATCTCGTGCACCTAGCCGTGCAAATCGAGCAACACGAAAGACGTAAGTCTTCTAGGCTGGGTAAACCCCGAGCATACGCTGCCGGAACCTCTAGCACTCCGTCCAAACCCACATCCGTTAGGAGAGAGGTCCCCGAGAGCCGAACCGTATCGAGTTTTCGTGACAAAGGAAAGAATCCGGAAACATTGAGACCAAAACCCCTACCCAAACCTCCAAAGGACACTAGAGCCCGTGAGATCATTGGCCAAGGATTGTCCGAATTCCCGCGTAATGATCATTACGGACAAAGGGGAATATGAGTCCTTAGACGAGGACGAGGCTGCCGACTCCGACGCGGAGATCGAGTACCCGGACAGCGGCGAGTTACTTGTCACCCGACGAGTACTTAGCACGATAGTAACTCCGGACGAAACAGCCCAGCGAGAGACCATCTTCCACACCCGTTGTACTATACACGGAAAAGTTTGTGGGATGATCGTCGATAGTGGGTCGTGCACGAATGTAGCAAGCGCGTATATGGTAAAGAAGTTAAACCTACCCACTGAGAAACATCCGCATCCATATAAGCTGCAATGGCTTAATAACAGCGGAGAGATAAAGGTGACCGAAAGGGTCAAGATCCCGTTCAGCATAGGTAAGTACCGCGACGAGGTCATCTGTGACGTTGTCCCTATGCAAGCCGGCCACATTCTGCTTGGTAGGCCTTGGCAATTTGATCGGGAGGTCAAACACGACGGTCGAGCAAACCAATACTCTTTCGTATACGACAAGCGAAAGATTGTGCTCGCACAATTGAGTCCATCTCAAGTTCACGAGATGCAGCTTAAACTAGCCAAGGAACCCGAACCGAAGAAAGGGAATTTCTATCTTAAGGCTAGTCAGGTGGTACGTGCTGTTCGTCAAGAACATCCGGTTTTGCTCTTGGTCTTCAAAGATCAATTGAGCCTCCGTACGGAGACACCGTTGAGTCCCGTTATTAGCCGACTCTTAGAGCGCTATAGCGATGTATTTCCGGACGAGATTCCGGCGGGACTACCACCTATACGCGGGATCGAGCATCAGATCGATCTAGTGCCGGGAGCACCCTTGCCTAATCGGCCCGCATACCGGATGAACCCCGAGGAAACCAAAGAGCTCGAGAAGCAGGTTCAAGAGCTTATGAGTAAGGGTTACATCCGAGAGTCTCTTAGTCCTTGTGCAGTTCCCGTACTACTTGTACCGAAAAAGGATGGGACTTGGAGAATGTGTGTGGATTGCCGAGCAATCAATAACATCACAGTTAAGTACCGGCATCCCATACCCCGACTTGATGACATGCTCGATGAGCTAAGTGGAGCCACGATCTTCTCAAAGATCGATCTTAAGAGTGGCTACTATCAAGTCCGGATGAAAGAAGGCGACGAATGGAAAACCGCCTTCAAGACCAAACAAGGTCTTTATGAGTGGCTCGTCATGCCATTCGGGCTTACGAACGCCCCGAGCACTTTCATGCGGCTCATGAACCAAGTTCTAAGAGCCTTTATCGGAAAGTTCGTAGTGGTTTATGTTGGTTTAGTGCTCTATGATAGTCAAAATGAAAAAGACCATATCTCGCACTTAGAGCAAGTAATGACCACCCTTCGGAAAGAAAGCCTCTATGCAAACCTTAAGAAATGCTCGTTCTGCACAAACGAGTT